CTCTGTGTGTGTGTTGTCTCGGTGTGTGTGATCTCTGTGTGTGTGTGTGATGTGTGTTGTCTCGGTGTGTGTGATCTCTGTGTGTGTTGTGTGTTGTGTGTGTTGTCTCTGTATGTGTTGTCTCGGTGTGGAGGGAGGAGGCGGAGGCGGCGGGAAGCGGGTGGCGGGAAGCGGGCGGCGGGAAGCGGGCGGCGGGAGGCGGCGGGAGGCGGATGAGACATAGAAAAGAAGAACCCCACACTAAGACGTGGGGAATGACTACGCCTGCCCCATTTGGCAATGAAATCTTTATGTGTGCCTATTCCCAGATCAACCAGCAGCCAAGGCTCTTCCCCTCCATGTTCTGATGGTTCCGGGCTCCGGGGATGACTTCCACTAAGGTCTCTACCACCTGTGCGGACGAGCACACTTCCGACATGAATCCAAAGTCATAGATTCTTTTTTAAGCCCGAGGCCCCGCCTTCCGATTTAATTAAATAGGTGCCTACTTAATTGAGTAAGGGATAAGTAAGCTACTAGGCTAGGTTAGCTTCTATAGGTAGGACGCAGGATAGCTCACGCTAATGACTTGGTTCCTAGATTTTCGGGAAACTGACAGTAGCATGTTACGCTATGATCAGTTCCATTCCAGTGCCTCCTTCATTTGGGGGTAGAAGCCACTGCGTTGCAAGACCGCTAGCAGCTCTTCCACAGAGAGGGCGCCACCTTGTCGAAAAAATAAATAAACATTCAATTCATGTCAGTTGATGTGTAGTCCAGTAGTTCAGCTACAGTAATATACCAAACCAAAAAATCAAAAGCAGCCAAGGGCATCGCTACTAGGAGCAAGGACGCTACTAGGGGCCCCTGGCCTGACTACTAGGAACAGGAACGCTACTAGGAGCAAAGGGCCTCGCTACTAGGCGCGTCAAGCAAATGACTCTTTCGCTGAGGGACTTTGGTCCTCGTCGGCTTCGGTGAAGAGGTCCAGCAGCCCAGGCCTCAACGGGCGGGCGATGGCTACGGCTAAAGCTCAGTTTCAAAAGCACAGATCCTTCTGCCGAGTCATATCGGATCATTCGTGGGTGTTGCTGGCTTGCCACTACCAGAACTGCAAGAATGTGAAGGGGAGGTAGGAGCAAGAATGCTACTAGTAGCAAAGGGCATCGCTACCAGGAGCAAGGACGCTACTAGTGGCTCCTGGCCTTACTACTTTGATTGTGAGATCCATGACGAAGGCTTTGCGCTTTGCTAACACCGCCAACGCAGACCCCACCCTCGCAGGTCTGCCAGCTGCGTCCGGAGGCTGGGGATCAACTGTTGCACTACTTGGTCGAAGTCAACCTGGGACCGACTTTCCGATCCCAAACTGAGCGGTTTGACATCCCGAAACACCAGGTTTTGACTCATGTGAAGCCAATCTCACTAGGATAAAAGAGGCTCGTTACTTCAAATCTGTCGTTGTTCTGTGTGTTTGTTGCTCTTAAAGTCTTAGAAGAGTTAGTTTTCCTGCTTTCCTCAGAAGTGCAGGGATGGCCACCCCGTCTGCCTCCAGGGTGTCCACTTGGGAGAGCAACTTCCGCAAGGCTTCCCGTTCCTCGGGTGTCCTGGTTGCAAGCGTTTAAATGAGTGGGGAAGAGTCAGTAGTAACAAGTGCCTTACTAGTAGTAACAAGTGCCACGCTAGTAGTAACAAGAAGCTACACGTCAAAATAACAATGGCTAAGCCACCAACTTGGCACCTTCTGAGGTGTGGTCACCATGGGAACCAGTACAAACATTCTGGTTCGGAAAAAGGGCAACAAGTGGTTCTCACAAAATGTGCCCATTCTCAACGAATCAATAACATGTCTATATATACACTCAAAAATAAATGCAAAAAACATGTGACAATACTACACACACCACCACCTAAGAGTTGTCCCAGCGATTGCACAACTTGTTGAGCACAGTCCTTGGCCGGAAGCCAAGGTCGGAGAGCACCATTTGCAGGTCCGCCTCAGCAGAAAGCTTGACTAAAAACTGTTGCTCTGCTTTGCTGCAGCCAGATTCTTCCGTTTCACATTTGAGCAAAACAAAGGCCCTTCTCTTCAGCTCCCAAGCAAGCTTTGTAAGTATGCCAATCACCTTCACACCAAAGAACAATGATTCCGGCCTGGTCGACCTTCCGATTGCTGCACATCTGGCGCAGCATGGCCTGTTACTACAAAACGCCAAATGTCCTCTCAATTTCATTTTGCTCCAAGTGTGAGCTACGGAAAATGACAAATAAAGAAGACCTCCATCACATTGCCTTTGTCATCGATCCTGTGGTGTAGATCACCCTCAAGTGGCAGGTCCAAAAAGTAGAGCTACTCAACGAATGGCAGCCAAGAGCAGTGATTTTTCAACCATCCCTTAAACCAAGTACTCTTCTATTGCAGGAAGTTGCAAGTGGCAAACCTTCTATATAGATCAACAGTGAGTCTGTCCCAGGTTTGGACGATTTGAAGATTCTACCCTGGGTGACTCTGTGCTGGACCCCATCCCCACGAATCCCCACGAACCTGATACGCCTGTGCTTCCTCGTGGTGAAGAACGCAATTCAGGGCTAGTTTGAATCATCTGAAGTAGTACAGTAGTCCTGTATTGCAACTTGTTTTTCTTAATTTAGATTAGGAGGTGTAAAGAATAGCCTCAAATCATCTAAACTCAATATGTTTGCCGCCTAGAGAGTTGTGTCACAAGAGGATCAATGGGACCATTTTTATTGTTCAAAGCTTTTTGCCCATGTCGTTACGAGCCACAATATGTACGCATAAAAAAGCACAAAAATCCTATCGGATATCGAAGTTATAATCAATGCAGCCAGCCGTACCTAGTCAGATTCAGTTGCCGTTCCAGTGTGAAGCTATCTGCAACAGGCACCACTACGATAGCTTAACTGCACACCTGCCGCGTCCGGTCAGCACAGTCCTTCGGCTTGATGTTAGAGAGGAACTCGTGAACATTCACCTGGAGAGATTCGGAGGAAAACATCCTCTGGTAGTAGACTCGTAGACCAAACGTTTGAGTCCGGAAATGCCAACGCAACATTCAAACAGCTGGAAATCGATTCTGGTAATTCACCAGAATCTCAACAGCCTTCTTCTGGATGCACGCTTTAACCGGTACGCTACTGCGGACCATATCATTTTCCACAATGCCTTTGTTCAAGTTGATTCATGCCTGCCTTACCCCTAATAGCTTCTTGATCCTAGTAGCGATGCCAGGAGCCCCTAGACGCATCCTTGCTCCTAGTAGTAAGGCCAGGAGCCCCTGATATGCCTCTCCTCTGGCCTCGCTGTCTTGCATGAACGTCATTGGCCGAGAGTTCATAATCTTCTTCGCCTTCTCTCCTCGTCTGGATTTCGAGAAACTCTCTCGCGCTCTCCTGGACCTTCTGGGCCCCGTGGGGCTCGGGAGTCGTTACTCTAGATTGAACAACTTCAACTCAGCAGAAACGCCCGGTAGAACTATTCTCCACTGACCTGCTGTGCCATGGGCATTAGAAAGAGATTTGATGTGTCTGAATACGTTGAGGTTTAGGGAGCTGAGTCGCTGTAGTTCTTTAGTATCCTGAGAAATGTGCGTTCCACGTTGTTCCTCACTTCTTCCCACAAACCCACACGAGCTCTTCTCCCTTTCTCCCTGCGGTGCTGCAAGAGGCGTTGTTGGCGTTTCCGCATCAAGGTCAACCTCCAGTTCCTTTCAGCGCCTTGTGACAAAGGAACCGATGGGAAAAAAAAGAACTCGCCACTTTATCAGGAAACAGCCTTCAAAATCTCACGGTACCTAGCATCCCAAAACACACCACAAGGTCAGGTGCGACTCCTAGCAACATTAACACCATCCGGGATCACCAAATCACCAAAGGAGTGCTTCGAAGGACGAAACAGAATCTACCGTTGGGCGCCCTTCAGTCTTGTTGCCAAGGTGCCCATGTTGTGCGATCGAGACTTGAGTCGCTCCAGGACCTTGTTGGGGTGCACGAAAAGGTGCATGGGTTGAGAAAAACTTGTAACATTTGCTTTTTTCTGAAGTGTCTTGCAAGGGTTCTCCTTTTGGGTAAAACAAGCCCGTCAATAGACAAGACCCCTGTGCTACGAGCCTCCAAAAACCAACAAAAAATGAAATAAGTCCTCTGACAAAAAGAATGCCCAGACACGCGATGATTGAGAGGTGTACGTTCATCAGGTCCGAACAGGTCCTGGTGCGACCAAACCGGACCGAGGACCGAGGCCCTGTCGTCTATGAGATTTTTGTGTCTGGTACAACCAGGTAAAACAGCAACTTAGAGTCTGTACATCAAGGCCTTGGTACCACTTTGCTGCAAGCTCTCCCCCGGCACGCCTGCGAATGGCTTTCGGCATGGTTGGTCCAATATCCAGCAGGTGTTGGAGGTCTCGAAGGAGGACCAGAAGGTGCCTGCGCTGGCGCAATCCTGTGTTTCAATCGAAAAGAAAACTTTACAAATTGAGCTATAGAGACAGCGAAGCTGCTATATATATACCATAATCCATCATCTAGCATCTACGAGAAACCAAACACATCACTAAAGTTTCCCCCGGGCTTCCAAGGGCTGGGTCGACACTAGAGGCTGTAATCGCTGTATGTGCCAGTTGATGGTCCTTGCAGTGAAGTATTTTTGCTACGAAAGCCCACAGCGAATCTCCACATGGAGGGTCTTGGCACTGCTCCTTTTTCTTGTGCTCTAACACATGGTGATATGGATATAGATACTGATACTTCTGTACTTGTCTGGATGTACTGGTTGAGCGATGTATGATGTCTTAGGAGATCGAATGCATCGTATACTGTGTTCTGGCAAGCCAAATACAACAAATTTGTATTTGCAACTGCATGTCCTGTGCACATGTGCACTGAAACCGCACACCGCGTGCCATCAACAGTGTAGAGAAACACGCAAACAAAAATAGAAAGGAACCAACCCTTGAAACAGAATGGAGGAAAAGTGCAAGAATGGGTATGAAACCAAAGATCAAATGATGATGGCGTACCGTCAGTCCAACATTACCTGTGATTATTGATGTATGTGTTGTCCTTTGTCCCATTGTTGCGCATTTCTTCTAAGTGTGTCTCAACTTGTTGTCCGTGTATACCTCAGCATCACCCATGTCGAAGTACGTCTCTTTTTCGTTTCCTTTCGACTGTCACGTTTCACTTTGCACCTCACCCTCATGCATCAGCATCTCCGGCACGTCCTCCTCCTCCAGGTGGGGCCAACGGATTAGACTAGTAATGATGCCCCTCTTGCTCCTAGTAGTAGCGAGGCCAGGAGCGTCCGTTCGGTTCGCGTCCGATCGCTCTGTTCATCGATATGCCAAAGCCTAAGGCACATTAACATAGCCTGAATGCCAACTTTCATTTTGGTGATGGCAGGGATGGCAGGGATCAGGAGACGCATCATTAGGTCAAGTTTAGGTCAGCTCCAACCGGCTTACGGATCTCTTCGCACCACTAAGAGTTGTTTTCACGGTTAAATAGGCTCAAGAAACTCAAAACCTAAACCCTTTCCATAGATTCTTTAAAGCATGAGTCCAAGCCTAAGTAAGACCTGACTCTGGAGCATTATCTACCAAAAACATATTATTGCTGATAATGGCCAGTGTGAAACCATCCTGGGAAACCAAGGGCCGATGTAAGTGCCATGATATGATTCAATATGTCATCATCATGCGTTCTCATTCCCAAACGACCACAACTGAGAAACCACCTCCACCTCACAGTTCAAACGTTCGACCGACCTCCAACATTCGACCCAGTTTAATACATACATAATTCTTCTCCTCGTCTAGAAGTGGTGTCGGCGGCTTTTTGGCCACATGCCTTGGTTCCGCATTCGCTGTGCAGAAGCTGTTTGTATATGAGAGAAGTCTTGGCACCAAATCTCAGATTGATAAAGGTTATATAAAGAGACCAAACCCTTGTTGAAAACAATACACTCCCTACAAACCCCATGATTAGAAAATGCTCCAAGCCCCGCCAACCGACTTGACTTGCTCACCGAGATACGGGAGAAAAAGCCAGCGCACCTGGCGTGGTTCGACCAATTGGCTTCAGGTGGTGATCATTGTCCCTGGTACCTGGTTGTTGCCCTACAAGTCTTGCAGTTGGAACTTTGGAACGTGTCCGAAGCACAGCTTGTTGCAAAGCAACTGCCGAGGGCTTTTCCGTGCCTGCTGCCTACCTGCAGATTCCTCGCTTGACAAGTGGACAAATCAAATAGCCCCAGAGCACCTGGTACAAGGGCTCTCGCGCATCCCGGCGTTTGCGCCACAGAGCCGCTTGCTCCCGCTCTCGCATGCCTGCCTGTGGAGAGCCCAGGCAGGTTCTTCCAACTACTCCCCAAAAGCAATACAGTAATTACAGCACCAAAACTATGGATTTTAGAAGAACAATGTCTTTCAGTGAGTATATTCCATATTGACCCCTTTTCAGGAGACTCATCCAAGATGCAGGGCCTGTCGCTGACAGTCCATACGGTGGAAAGCAAAGGCAGCCTCGGCCCCAACCCGGAATGACCAGTTCCATCTCCTGTAGGTAATCCCGCAACTTCTCAATCCCCCATGAAAGCGCACGATATGAAACTGCGTGCTTTTGCTGTCTATATTTGATTGAAATCTTCGACATCAGCCACAGAGAAGGTGACCTCCGGTTAGGTCGATTGCCTTTATCAAGAGGATCCAAAAGATTCCCCTTGTTTATCCTGTTATGTCAACGTTTGCTTGAGGTGCATACACTAGATTCGTACAAAACTACGTGTTCCACCAAATCACGACCTCCGCGTCGTGTTCAGCCATCTCCTCATCAATGCACTGGCGATAGACGCCAAAGCCCAAGGTCTCCTTCGGCCACTAAATCCCACAACCCAAAGGAAACAGTCTACCCTCTGACTTCAGAACTGAAAGAAACAAGCGCATCAAGCTGTGCATGTTGGTTTACGGGCGCACTGTGTCAATGTCAAGGCCAGGCAAAAGCAACAAGGCAACAAGGGAAGGGTCGGCCACATCACCGCCTTCCAAGGCCCTTCCAGCAAGAGTTGACCCGAGGGTATCTCCTTGGTGTAGGCTGCCTCTCCCAGACTGAAGGGCGACATCGGTCGCCTGCGCCGCGATGGTTCTGCGCAATCACTCTGTCATCAAAGTGAATCACTCATCTCTAAAACCTGTAGCAAGGGGTCAGTGCTGCGGGTTGGTGCAACTCTTTGATGTTGCCGTTGTGCCAGACTATCCAGAGTGGTTGTTAGAATTGGTCTTGGTCTTATGTAAAGCCGCTTGGAGGGAGGGTGCTCAACTGTCATCTAAAATTTGTTCAATTTGTATGTTGAATCACTGAAGTGGAATGGCCACAACATGAGTGGGTTGAGGTTGGAGACTACCAGAACATCAGCCAAGAGGAAGCAGCTAAAGACCCAACAAACAAGGATACCCTCGTATGGCATCGTCTAAATCATAAATGAAAGTGTGTCCTCAGTTGCTCTGGCACTAACATCGAAGTACCCAGAAGTATCTTAAAACCCTAAGAGCTTCGAGAAACGAAACAGCTTTTGGAAGGGCTCTTCTGCAGCCAAATGGGTCAGAGTATCCAAAAGGTTCAAGGTCTTCAGTTTTACAATGTCGTGGGTAAGTTAGGCTTCAAACCCCAACTGACAACAGCATCTGGCTGTTGATCTGACTTGAGGGGCAGTTATCCAATTAGAAACACAAATTGGAAACACAGATATCCAATCACCATTTCCAGTCCAAATCCCCTCCGCCTCCTTCTCCAACTGCTAGAGGACTTGGTGGACAAGGCCCAAGTCTCACCCACCTCAAGGTCAACGGTCTCAAAATGGCCCAGGTGTGCAAAAGTCCGCGAATTTGGCAAACTTGAAGATCTTCTATAGTCCATAGTTTGCTATTCGGTTGGAGGCCATCGCTAGTAGGTTGCAGGCAATCGCTAGCAGGTTGGAGGCCATCGCTATAGAAACAAAGAGAAAAGAAAGACAGGTGCAATGTAGTTTGCCATTGGGTGTTTCTGTGGAAACCGTGCTCACACATGCTCACACAGGCCGCCTGCAGCTGCAACTCCCGGCGAACAGACATGCGGGGCACCGGAGGGCGCCTCACCTGAGACTGGATGCTAGTAGCATCCTTGCTCCTAGTAGCGACGCCCTTAGACTAGGATACTTTGCTGGCAAGGCAGAGGTTGGAAAGGAAGAAGCTCAAATGTCTCGAATGTTCTGTCATTCAGTTCGTAAGTCCTCCCTCTGGCACATGGTCATGAAATCATCCGCGCAGCAAGTTCACAGATCGATCTCTCAGTTGCCATGGTCCATAAGACCGATTCCATCAGTGTCCTCCAAATCTTCCGGACCTTCTCCACCTTGACCTTCTCTACCGCTGGCAACACGACCGCCTGCACAGCCTTGGGATGGCCTGACGGTGTGGAGATCCGAAAATCGCACAGTGTGTCCGTCTCCAAAATCGAAAATCGGACAGTCTGACTCCCAGACCTCGTTGGGCCGCCGCATGGGCGCGCAAGACCTTGGGATCTCCCACCCCACCAAATGTGGGTTCAGTGCAAATTCGGCCTCCTCAGGGCTGACAAAAGAAACTGGAGAGTCAAAACAATGTTGGCTTTTCTTCATGGTTTCAGGGGTCTACTGGCTATAAAGGTGAATATTGACTGCACTTGATTGCAAATGTTCTCCCTAGGTTCGGGTCCGCTGCCAGTGTTTCATTCTTTAGCAACGGGTGTTCCAGCATCAGGGCACCCCACTGGTTGCTGCAGGCGTTCACACAAGGACTCCCCTGTCATGTGATGGGCAGGTCAGCTGGAGCTTGCTCCCATTTGTGGAACAAAGACCAAAAGATAGAATGGGGACACCATGTACATGGGTTCACTTTGCAAATCTCGTTACCCATGCCAACTCATATCTTATGTTGGAAGCCACTATGCAACGGCAGCAGCTGTGTGTGTGAGTCACAAGTTAGCCCCCGAAAAGTCCCCAACAGCTGGGCATGAAACCGCCTATTAGGCAACGGCAACATCACACGTTCACCAACAAAGTGATGTTTTTCCATGTGCCATGCGAGCCTCACAACACACAATATGTCGGCATAGCAGCATGGCCGCACATCTACCCACATATGGCAAAGCGTGACAACGCCGCAACAAGCAAGAGCTAGGGAACCTGCTGTCAGCACCTCAGCGTGACAACCCATGACAGCCTGCCAGCATGACAACATGTGAACATTTTGGCCTGACGCCATGCCACCAGATCACGGTGACAACATGTTAACATGCCTATGCCTACACGTCTACACGACAACATTGTATAACAGGCCACTCGCGTCAGCACGACATCGTGTTTTCAAGGGTGCATACAAAAGGGGAAAATGTTGCAATGTCGACACGACAGTGGACACCATTCAAGCATGGTAGCCTGACGGCATGACAACATATCAGCATGACAACACGTCAGCATGACAACATGCCAGCATGATGCCATGTCGGTTTTTCACCATGACAGTGTCAGCAACTCAACATGTCAGCATATCTGCAAAGCCCTCCAGAACTTGCTCCCGAACCTCCTCCAGAATCTGCTCCGGAACCTGCTCCGCAACCTGCTCCCCTGACTGCTCCCGGGTCTCCTCCTAAACCTCCTCCAAAACCTGCTCCGGGACCTGCTCCAATCTTCTCCGAAATCTTTACTATGGCTCAAGACCCCTAAGCTCTAAGCTTCCAGTAAGCTTCACTATTGGGGAAAAAACACTTAACCAGCAACGTTTCAGTCAGAAGCTCCATCTTGCTTTCAAGGCTCACCCACACGTGGAACAATCAATTGGAATACTCCATCAGTGTGGATCAAAATCACCTTTTCACTTCCATTTTTTCATTTGACACTCAGTAAGTCCTTTCGTTCTGTAGGGTCTTGTGGCATCACTCTACCCGACAGGCTTGGCTCACTTGGCTGCAGCTCTGGAAAAAGTTTGCCCATTGCAACACCTCCAGTGTTGGCACGGAAGTGGCTATAGTTCGGAGCTTGCCCGACTTGGGTGGCACTTCTGGAGGAAACAAGCTGAAAGTTCACAACAGAAGCTGGCATTCCTGTGTGTGTGTGTCTTAGACCAGACCTCCTCATCAGCAGCGCTCCAGCATGGTGCCAAAGCCGCGGTCAGGTGGAGACAACACGTGCTTTGGCACAGCAATTGAAATGTGTTGGTCACGGGCAACACGACTCTGGTCTGTCAGTTCGGCTCTTACTCACGTGGTGTTGTCTTCACTTGTCGTTTGTTGCAGGCATGTAGTTGCATAACTGCCTCTGTCTGGGTTTCATGGCAGACTTTGGGCATTTGCTTCGTTGGGTTTCATGAGATCCGAGCCAGATTGGACCATGAAATGGGACCATTCGCCAGCCTGCATGAATACTCAATCTTGGCTCGACCGACAGGCTGGGAGTGTCCTTGAACACAGCAAGTGCCGCGCGAGGTTTGGCACAAGAAAACAAACCTTGCCATTGGAAATGCCTTGGTGCGCCTCGCTATCATGAATTGGAAGATTGCTTAAAGGCGTCAAAAAGGTATGACCATGGGGCATGCGGCATGCGTTTTGGGGTGTCGAATCCTCCATTCTTGGGGCAATCCTCATCCCTACAGCTTGTGAGGTCTATCTTCAAAAGTGGACAGGGATAGAGACATGGAATCTGTTCAGACAAAACCTGAAACCCTCGTGTAGTGCGAAAGCAAATCCCATTTTGGGGATGGAAGCTATCTGATTGTTTCGTTTCTGCCTCCATTTACTTGCATTCACAAGCCAAGGTGGACATGGAGTTCCATGCACATCCTACATGGACTGCTCTTCGGATTCCATCGAGTAATACGAAAGTCCTCATGGGGTCCCCGACTCCAGGGTTTTGCGGTCAGGCCTCAGTGCACTCGCACAAGGCGCCAGTGCTATTCATGCCTCTCTCAACTTGAAGCCTTCTTGATGCATGTGTTGTTCTTTTTGAGAAAAAAACTCCCGGAAGCGCAGCTGCAGCTCGATGCAATGCCGCCTTTTCCTCTGCACTCACAGCGCTTTGGTGGCCATGGCCAGGGCGCCCTCTTCAGTCCTGGGAGGTCGGAGCGACCGGAAAATCAACCGGAAAAGGGTCCAAAAAAGGCATCAATGCTTTGAGCATCAAACGGTTTACCAAGAGATGAGGTCAGTGAGAAAGATGAGCAATCACATCTAATCAGATATGTTTCAGGTGAAAGTGTCTCACAAGGAACTTTCGGCCCAGCAGCGCATTCCCACCAATGAAGCCATTGGCATGCACGAAGATGCAGCCTGGCAGCATCTACAAATGATGAACTTCTCTCACTTTGGACGTTTGACCCACTTCACAAGTGTGAGACCTCACATAAAGGGTCGATCCCCACTCTTCCCTTCACACGTGCGTCAGCATCAAACGTTTCATCCACGTCGCCTAGCTTGCAGTCGCTCGAACCATACACCCAATAATTCGACATGCTATCTGCCTGGAATCTCCGCAATCTTTGAGAGCTCATCATCGCGGACACCACACCACGCACTGGGCAGCTTTTGCCTCTGTGGTCCATTCTGCAAAGGACCCGTTTCATCCCGGTTCACATTCCCTAAACGCTGGTAACATAAGTAAATCTGGTTCAGTACTTCAGAAGCAGTCTGTTCACCTGATTTGGGACTTCAAGGTCCGGTCAGTCTTGGATTGAAATTCCACCACGGCACCTTAGCTCAAAGCTGCCACGCACCTTTGGAGCTGCTTGCACGCGCCAGCTGCCACGGCTATCCTGGTGAAGGTCCGTGGCTTGAATGCCAACTACTGATGGTGCAAATCCAACCTAGTAGCAATGGTCTGCAACCTACTAGCAAACATCAGGTTGAAGAAGGCTTGGCAACTGCAGAGCTAAACTCTGTACGTTGGGTCTCCCTGATCATTGATAATCTAGACTATACAATATACCTGTCCCAAAGAATTTGATGAACTCTTTGCTCCTGAAAGATCACGTACTTCACCAATGGGCTGCGATGTGCCTGGCAATCTGGACCCTTCAAGAACAGCCCACACTTGCCATGTGGTGGTTTCAGGATGAAGTTGCCTTGAAACTGTAGAGACCTCATTCACATACTCCAGAAGACTGCTGCCCTCCAAACATGGACAAATAACTTGCAGGGAGGTGTGATCACCTAGCAAAGCCCAATTTTCAACCCCAGTAACCAGTTTGAAGCTTCAGTACAGGCATACCCCAGTATGCCCGTCCCAATTTGATGGGCTAAAGCAGCTATATACGTATATATATATATATACATATAAAGCAGGCACGAAGGAATATGCTTACAAAAAGAATTCACGTCCCAGCTTCCCCTACCTGTTCTTCTTCCTCCAGGTCAAAGAGGTGATCTTGCCAAGGGCAAAACTGCTTCAGCTTCATAATCTGGCGCCAAACGGGTCTACCTTTACCCACCTCTGATCAGGTACTCTAGTGATTTGTGCAGCTAAGTAAGGCTTCTGAATGATGCAAAGGTCGTGTGTCTTTGCCACCTTGTTTCAACTTGAGGCCAGAGGGGGTGAACGAAAGCTAGCCGGGCTTCCGGTGGTCTGCTGCTGGTGCTGCTGCTGCTGGTGCTGCTGCTGCCGCTGCTGCGCTGGGCGCTGCTGCGCTGGG